TGTCCTCAAAGAGGTTGCGAACTACAGGAGAGGAAAACAAGTAAATAAGAGTGTAGAATGCTGCATGATATGCACCTGCTGGAGGTAAAAATGGGGCTGCAAGGAGCTTAAGGAGAGAGCAGGGCCACCTCACCTCTACTGAGAGTCTGGACATGCTTCTCGGGCATTTAACCACTTCATACATATTTATTGGCCACCTTCCTGTGCCAGACATCCAGAAAAGAAGTTCCTGGCACTCAGAAAGGATGATCTTGACGTGAATTTCAAAGGATTGGCAACATGACCAGAGTAAGGGGATTGTAGCAAGTGTAAAAGCAAAGGGGAACCCATTGGCATTGGAGCTTTTGTTGAATCACAGTGTGACCTGATTAAATCCAAGGACTCCACCAGCCACGCATGGAGTCACAGTCAAAGGAAATACAAATCACTCTCTTTAATCGAATTTTCTGCCTCGGGTTTTCTTAACAGGGCCTTCTGAGGGGCTTTGCACAGCTAACTACACAGAAAGCATGCCAAAAGTCTCTCTAAATATCTTCCTCTCCCCCACATCCCATGATGTCTTTAAAAACCTTCTCCACTCGCTCTGTATCTGGTTCCCTCATTACGATACTCTTCTATTCCTAACCCCTTTCCCATTAGTGCCTAACAGGCTGGCAGATACTTCAGACATGCGGGAATCATGCAGCATCCTCGTTTCCTCGGGCTGTCAGAACAAAGTACTACCAATTGGGGGCTTAAAACAACAGAAATCACATTGTCTCACAGATCTGGAGACTAGAAGTTCAAATCAAGGTGCAGCTGTGCTTTCTATAAAGACTCAGAGGAAGTCTGCTTCCTTGCCTCTGCTGGTTTCAGGTGGCTGCTGGTGATCCTTGGCATTCCTCACCTTCTGGATGCATCATGCCCACCTCTACCTCCCTCCTAACATTCTCCTGTGTATCTCTTCTCCTCTTAAAAGGACACTAGTCATGGCAGACTAAGGGCACAACCTACTGCAGTATGACCCCACTTTAACTCAGCTGATTATATTCTGCAACCCTCTTTGCAGATGAGGTCCCATTCTGAAGCAATAGAGGGTAGAACTTCAATGTGTCTTTTGGAGGGACATGATTCAACCCACAATAGTTTCACATCTCAGATCTGAGCCCCAGGGTCTGTGCAGCTCTACAGGGAAGCCATAACCACATTTTTCTTTCTATCAGTTCTGATGAGCTTCATTAACCATGAAATCTCTGGAAATCTCCGGGAGCAATTTAGAGTGCATTGAAGTCCAGATTTTTTAATCTTTAACTATGCAGCACTCCTCCTCCTTAGCTTCAAGATTTCACTAAAGAGTGATAACCCTCCAGTACACAATTTTCCATAGAAGTTTTTCCAGTCTGATTGTGAAAGAACCCTTCTCTCCTCACTGCCATGTGGCTGTGTAATTTGTACTAGATATAATCCATCCAGGTATGTACTCATTCTGGCAATGTTGGTCAGTTCTCGTGGAAAGTGGAGTGTAGACCATATGACCTCTTCTTTAGACCTCAGCAAACCTCTCATCATCCCTCTGTTCTTTCTGTGGAATTTTCACTTGTTCCATTCTACAAGTATTTATTGAGGGTCCACTATGTGTCAGGCACTGTTCCAGGCAATTAAAGTACAGTAGTGAACTAAACAGACTAAAAGTCTTCCCCAAACATGACTCAGAGTTCATTCTGGAATAATATTTCTTGTAAATTTCTCAATGTTCTAGTAGAAACTAACTCATGACAATTATTCTAAAGCCCACAAGATCACAAGTCCCATAGTAGAAGCCTAGACCCAGCAGTTATGGTCTCAGACAGTGGAGCAGGTGGTAGCCTCAAACTAACACAAGCAGATCTGACATTGACCCTCTCATGATCCAAACAGACCCTCGATTTCTTAAGACACTAAATACTGTCAAGGTTAGATAAAAATCTAATTTTCATTTGCAACTTCTTGTGGGCTGTATGAGGAAAGGTTGTGCTTCTATTACAAAAGAGTCAATGACAATTCAAGGCAAATACAGAAGCACTTTTCTTTTCCTCGTGTTAAGAGTTGTAGTTTCAGGCTGATGATGGTGGGTATGCTCTGAAGGGTCATTTAGGAACCTGGACTAACAGCAGTTCTGACATTTTCAACTCCACACTCCCAAAGTTGTTCCAGTTGTTGTCAAGGAGAGAAAGCATAGAAGTCCATGCCAGGAATTCCTGTTAAGTGAATGAGGTAGAAGAAACATGTACCTTCCACTCACATGTCATTATCAAGGACCACATGCAGCTACAGAGTCACCTGGGAAATGTGCTATATACTATGGAAGAAGGGATGGATGAACTTATGTGAATAGTAAGCCTTTCCTCTAGATTTTCCTAAAAGGGTTTTATACAGCACAAGCCATAAATTACTGCCTGTCTAGACATCCACAGGCCTGCTCCTTCCCATGCACCCTCACTTCCTGATTTACCTTCCCCTCCCCACAACACACACACCATCAGACTCCTTCTCTGTTAGAAGGGACACCAGGCTTGCTGGCCATGCTGGGCCACTCTGGGACAGCTGAAAGACCTGGAATTTTCATCCAGCCCCATCCTGCCTCACTTCTAGCAGAGGAAAGTAGACAAGAGTTCCCTGGGATATGTGGTTCTCCCCCACACTGTTCTATTTCCAAAACATTCTAGGGAGGCATTGCTAATGAATAAAATTCTCCACTTCATTATACAAATAATTCAGGATGGCTGGGGCAAAGGGTGTGTGTTGGGGATTAGCAGGAGATTAGAGCAGACAGGTAGGCTAGGGCTTAGAAACCTGCCAATAGAGCTTTACCCAAAGGGCAAGAGGAAGCCAGCAAGTGCTTCTGGCAAGACAGAAACCTGGTTGGAGCTGGTGTTGTAGAAAGCCACTCAGGTTCTCAGAGAAGGAATGGAAAAGTGGGGATGAGAATAAAGGAGAGGCCAGAAGGTGGCACAGTAATTCTCTCTGGGCCTCAGTCTTCTTGTCTATAAAATAGGGATGATATTAGCTCCTACATAATAAGGTACCTAGTGAGCCCTCAGTAAGCATCAGCTGTCATTATTAATCCAAGGAGAGAAGGTGAGCCCCACACTAAGGCAGCTGTAGTAGAAAGAGAAGAATCCAGATTCAGGAAATATATATTATTTTTAAAATAAGAAACTTGAGAGTCAGACAATTGTGGGGTTGGGAGAGAGGAGGTGGAGTTGAGAGAGGGTTACCATCATCATCTCCCTTATATGTGAAATCTAAAGAAAGTTGAATTCCTAGCCAGATTTGGTGGTGCATTCTTATAACTCCATCTACTTGGGAGGCTGAAGCAGGAGGATAGCAAGTTTGAGGCCAGCTAGGCAAATTAGTAAGACCCTGTCTCAAAAAGAAAGAAAAAAAAATTAAAAGGACTAGGGATGTAGTTCAATCCCAGTATTTAAAAAAAAAAGAAAAAGAAAGTTAAATTGCTAGAAGTGAGACTAGAGTGATGGTGGTCAAAGGCCTTGGGGGAGGTGGAGGGAGTGAGTAGGTGGGGTTATTGGTCGAGAGATACAGACAGCACCAAGTTTCAGCTAGACAGAGAATAGGTTTTAAGATCTATTGCACAGCAGGGTGACAACAGCCAATAATAACACTCTGTATAGTTCAAAATAACTAAGATGAAATTTCAAATATATCATCACACACAAAAAAAAAAAGTCAACTGGGCTGGGGATGTAGCTCAGTTGTTAAAGAGTTCTTGCCTCACATGCACAAGTCCCTGGGTTCAATCCTCAGCACCTCCACCAAAAAACAATGTCAAGTAAGTGAGGTGATAGTATGTTCCTCTTCTTGATTTAATCTCTCCACATATATCAAAACATCACATGGTTCTCCATAAATGTAATACAATTATAACTCATTGATTTAAAATAATATAAATTTTTAAATAAATATTTTAAAAAGGGAAAGTTGCCAGTCACTGAGATTGGAACTTCCCAAAGGGTGAGGTGACAAGTCCCCCCGAGTCTGAGATGTGGGTATGACATGGTCCTGGGGTGTTTTCAAGTAGGCAGCAGAATCTCCTGGTCTGGAGGCCGGAAGAGAGGTTGGGCTGCAAAGACGGATTTGGGATCTTCTGTGTAAATAAAAATGGAAGCCATTGGAACAGAGAGCATATGTGGGGAAAGCGGACAGAGAAGAGGATCCAGGAGGTGCCCTGGGAGACCTGTAAGGGCTGGGAGGAGAAAAAGGTGCTGGGGAGGGAAAGGAGGACTGGTGAAGAGCAGGGGGGTAGGGGGCGGAGGGAGAGGTCAGCAGTGCCCATGGTGCCGGAGGCCAAGCCAGTTCAAGATACAGAAGATCCCATTTTGTTAGTGAAAAGGGAATCACAGGGGCTTTGGGGAGTGCAGCTTCAGGGGCTGGTGGGGACAGAATTGAGAACCAAGTAGAGATAAGAACAGGGAGATGCAAGGGAGAAGAGAAATAAAGTGGATGTGGAAAGGAAAGAGGCTTTAAATTGCAGAGATTTGAAGACACATGAATGTTGGGGAGGAGTCAGGAGACAGGGAGACTGAGGAAGGGGGATGGAGGGAAGTGGTGAGGCTATGGCACACGACCTACGGAGGAGAGAGGGTGAGGCCAAGGGTCCAGGCAGTGGGACTGGCCTTGGGTGTCAGTGGGGAGGGGAAGAGGCAAATAGTCACAGGGACATGGGCAAGCTTGGAGGGAAGGAGGAAGGAGGCTGGGACAGATCTGGATGGAGCAGCTGAGAAGACTCTAAGCCATGTGACACGCCACACATGCTTGAGAGATGTTGTCATGACACAATCATGGATCAGGGACCCACAAGCCCAGCAGACCCAATAAGCTGCCCAGCCAGGTGGAAAGAGGAATTGGTGCTTGAAAGGTAGGAGCCAGGTTCAGGGAAGTCAAGCCACGGTGGTGGGAGCGGGAGCATGGGTCAGAGGCAGGTCTGCGCTGAGCTAGCCTGGCCCTGCCTCGTTCCTGTGCAGTGGAACCTGGTGTGCAGCTCCGGGAAACTGAAGGAGATGGCCCAGTCTATCTTCATGGCAGGCATCCTGATTGGAGGGCTCGTGCTTGGAGAACTGTCTGACAGGTGAGAGCTGGGCACAGCCCACGGTGGGGGTGGGGGGAGCAGCCTCTCCCCACTCTGTTCGGCCCATGCCCTCTCAAAGAGGAAAAGATCTGGGAGAGATAGGAGAGATGGGCCTCTCTGGGGGGCCTTGGGCAAGTTCCATTCCTTTCTAGGCCACAGCCTCCTGTCTGCCCCAGAGCCTTACAACTTAAGTCTTGGGGCCTCCCCACACCCAGAGGCCTCCAAGTTTCTGGACACATTATCATGATTGCACAAAGGCAGTACAGATGGACTGCTTAGAGATAAGTGGTCTTTTGACCCCTGCTCAGTCAGCTAAGTTAGGGTTGGAGGAGATAACTCATTAACTCAACACCTTAACCTCAAACTTGTTGAAAAACAGCAATTACAGCAAGGATTTGTCTAGGGAAGGAGTTATGTGTTCTACCTGGTCCTTGAGCCGCAGTGGGGAGGCAAAGGAGGGGTCCAGCCCTTTGCCCCAAAACCTGCAGAGTCACTCATCTTGGCAGGCACACGGTGGCTAACCTGGCCCTTCCTCTCCTTTGAGCTGCAGGTTTGGCCGGAAGCCGATCCTGACGTGCAGCTACCTACTGCTGGCAGCCAGCGGCTCAGGCACAGCCTTCAGCCCCACCCTCCCCTTCTACATAGTCTTCCGCTTCCTGACGGGCTTCAGCATCTCAGGCATTGTCCTGAGCACGGTCATCTTGAGTGAGCCACAGGGGGCCATGGAACTGGGTTTGGGGGTGGGGGTCACCAGCCAAAAGCTGAGAAAGCAGGTCTGAGCCTGGTTCAACCAGAGGACTCCCTGGGATCTTGGTCAAGGTGCTGCCCCTCTCAGGCCCACAGAGGCCCGCTCTGAACATAACTGCCCTAAGGCATAATAATGGCAGCTATCCATCTGAGGACTTACCCTGAGACTGGCACTCCACTAGGTACAGTCACGTTTCGCCCATGGGCAGGAGTGAGTGATGCTGTTATTTATATTATAAAGATGAAGAAACTGAGGCAAAACAAGGGAAGCCACCTGTCCCTGGAAAGGCAGTGGTCAAGAGAGTGACCCAGAGGGGCTGGAGATGTAGCCCAGTGACTGAACACCTGCCCACCTCAGGCAAGGCCCTGGATTCACTTCCCAGCACTGCAAAAAAATTAAAAAATAAAAATAAAAAAGAGTGCGAACTGGGAGTAGACAGACCATGGTTTGAGTCTGACCTCTTTGGACCTCAGGTGCAGCATTTGCAAAGTAGGGATGGTGAATCCTTAGGATCAGGAGCAGGTCAAATAGCTATTGGAAAGTAGGAGCCGGTGCCCCTTCACAGGGAGGTGCCTGGACCCTAACAGGAGCTAATCTGATCCCTGGACTCTTTCCACAGACGTGGAATGGGTGCCCACCTGGATGCGGGCCATCTCGTCGACAGCATTTGGGTACTGCTACACCACTGGCCAGTTCATTCTGTCCGGCCTGGCCTATGCCATCCCCCAGTGGCGCTGGCTACAGTTAACAGTGTCTGTTCCCTACTTCATCTTCTCCCTGTTGTCCTGGTATGTGGTCCTCTCCTTTTCTCCTCCCTCCTCAGCTTAACCTGGCTCAACTCTGTCTATCCCTAGCACCCCAGTCCTAGAGGCAAGGAAGAGCACCGAGGGTGGGGTAGTTCCTAAGCAAGGCATGCTGCAGGAAGGAGCATGGGAGGGCTCTTGGGGCGGCCTGCAGATGAAGAAGGGGGTGAGTTGAGATGGATGGGATGGAGCCAAGCTCTGAAGAGCACAGAAGTCCAGGGAGGCTTCAACTTCATGTGGAGGGAGACAGAAAGATTTCTGTGGGGCTTTCAAGCCTAGCCAATGTTCTGTTTGTGAAAGAATGGTCCCACGTGGGTGGGGACAAGCAACAGAAAGGAAGGAACTATGCAGGCAGGAGGATTCTGGGGAATAAATATGAGAAACACTTTGAAGGAAGAATCTGCAGGATTTGGGATGTTCCGGATTTGAAGTACAAAGAGTAGGAATGTCCAAAGAGAAACTCTGGCCTGGGGACAGAAGTGTGTGGGTACAAGACACAGAGTGATCAGAGAGCTCATTATCAGCATATAGAACCTAAGCCCACACTGAGAGACAAGAAATGAGCCTCTATAGCTCACTGTTGAAGCCAACGTACTGAAAATCACAAATGAGCCCAGGAAAAGTTATGAAATCTTGCAGCAGTTTTTTTTTTTTTGAACATTTATCACATATAAGGCCCTATTCAACACAGACATCAGCCTACATTGTCTCTGTTTTTCATGGCATCTCCCAAGGTTACTTGGAAAGGTGAAGAATTGAGATAGAATCTCAACTTAGAAATAAATGTAGCCCTTCGAGGGTTGAGATCTGGGGATGACAGAGCAAGAGAGATGGTCAGAGAGCCCAGGGGGGAGCCCAGAGGCACATCCACAACCTCAGATGGGAACAGAGTAGGAGTAGTCAAGGTTAGGAAAGAAAATAGGAGCAGGTGTCAGCAGAGAACAGTCAAGGGCTCAAGCCACTTCACTGTGTGACTTGGGGCAAGTTTTCCTACTCTGAACCTCAAAATTTCTTAGATAAAATAGGAATACTGTTAGCCAGAGTTTTGTGATTCTGGTCCACAGGAAGCCTCACTAATTGGAAGCCATTGCCGCCATTATTCTCAGGGAGAGAAGAAGAGTTCAGGTCCTGCCCATGGCCTGTGGGTTCTTGATAACCTTGGGGACAGCAGACTCAGAAGATTGCCAGAGCAGAAACCAAAACCACAAGACCATGAAGGTAGATAGCAATAGGCCCAGGAAGCCACCACCATCAGCTGAAACCAGGAGACCAATATCAATTTCCAAGGACCTCACCAGAGCTAGGCTCTGAGAACCTTTGGAGGTCACAGCTGGAGCTCACCGTACTTTGGACCAGCCTTTTCCAAACACCACTCCTTTCTCCCCTTACCTTGTCCTCCATTTCTCTTCACCTAGTCCCTCAGGTGACTGCTCAGCATAAGTCAACCCCAAAAGCCCAGACTGGGACACAGTTGAGTAGCACGCACACACACACCCTGCACACTATACACATACACACACACACACACATATTGTTGGTCCTTTGCAGAGACAAAGAATCCTCCAGCCCATTCCCTAGGCCACAGCCCTCACCTTGGCCTAAAATCTCCTTCCCAAGCTTCCCCGAGACTGCAACCCTGACCTTTCTGCAATAAAGAGATAGAAAATTCAGCCCAAGGAAAGCTGGAGAGGTGCACGTGCAGGACCCTCCATGTGTCCAGCCTTGAACATGCCATCCCCTCCCCAGGCTCCACCTGCCCTAGCCTAGGGCCTGGGGCTCTCAGCCAAGGAAGACACCCAACAACAACAAGACACTCAGGTGGGGGGCAGAGGAAAGTGTCTTCCAGAAGGGAAAGAAGAGAATACTGGAATTTGTGCTGGCTACAGGCAGCCCAGGTGCAAAGTTGGGCCAAGTTTAAATTCCATGGAATTTGCCATCAGGCAGCTCAGGTTTCTAGACTTCCTACCCTTTGGCCCTGGCTGCTGATGTTCTTCCAGCCTCTCACTCTGAGTGGGAGGAGCAACTGTGACTTGACTCTGGCCCCCAGGTGGATACCAGAGTCTATACGCTGGATGGTCCTAAATGGAAGGTTCTCCAAGGCCCTGAAGACACTCCAACACGTGGCTGCCTTCAATGGCAAGAAGGAGGAGGGGGAAAAGCTCAGCTTGGAGGTAGGGGCAGAGAGAGATTTTAGTCAGGGGCAGGACCCTGTGCTCTGCTCTAGGGCTGCCCTCCACTCACTTCTGTTTCCTACGGTCACAGCCCACATCCCATCTTATCCCCTAAATTAATTCTTCTAGTGGGACCAGGTTTGTGCCTCTCTCTCTTCCTTTCTTCTGCCCACCAGCTAGTCCACTAATAGCACCCCTGCCTCTCCTCTGTCCCAAGGAGCTGAAGTTCAACCTGCAGAAGGACATCTCCTTGGCCAAGATCAAGTATGGCACAACTGACCTGTTTCGGATACCCATCCTACGCCATATGACCCTCTGTCTTTCCCTGGCCTGGTAACGTACCATCGCTCTCTCCCATACTTGCCAAGGCAGGGGTGATGAATAGGCCTCCAGCAGTCTCACATAAGGGCAATACCTAGGGCACCTCATGCAAAAGAGGTCAAGGGGCTACCTCCCCTGAGCACCACAGTCCAGACTCAGTCCCAAATATCTGCTGCTTCCCTGCCCCACAGCCACATTCAACCAACAGGGTGTGCTTCCCTCTAAGGTCACACAAACGGCCTCCACCCACAGGGTAAATGCACTAGTACATCCCAGCAATGGCTGTTTCCCCAAGACTGACTCTGGCATTGCCACCCTCTGGCCCAGTTCTGCCCTCTGGAACCCCACAGAGCAAGGATGGCCCTCTGGACTTCAGACTTGCAGACAGAAATTATGTGTCTCCCAAGTTTTCTCTTCTGTCTGACATTTACAACTTCCTCAAAACCCTTTCTGTGACCTGGTTGTGAGACCACTCTCAATCCTGACCATCTCCATATGAATAGATGAATAGTAATGAACTCGTCCAACACCCTGCAGAAAGGATTCCACAGTTCCAAGAGGGGAAGGAGAAGCACTTGACCCTGTGCATAGCTCGACTTTTACCTCCTCAATCCAGATGTTCAACTGCTTCCTACCAAGAAAGATTATTTATTGCCTCCTTTGGTCTCTGAGAGTCCCTCCAGTCCCAATATTCTCTAGAGAATAATAAGGGCACCTGTGCCATGACACCCTCAATCATGCCCATGTCAGACATGCCAATCAATCCCAGCACGTTTGCACTGAATGTAGACGCAATCTCAGAAACCTCAAAATTGCCTCAAGTACTCCCCACCCATCAGTTGCAAATGGTACAAGAAATGAAACTCTTCACCATTCTGGTGACCCAGTGATCAGTATGGGAAGAGGCCTCAGCCTGGCTGCAGATGTTAACCAATCCCTCTCTGTCCCTCAGGTTTTCCACTGGTTTTGCCTACTACAGCTTGGCTATGGGGGTGGAAGAATTTGGTGTCAATCTCTACATCCTCCAGATCATCTTTGGCGGGGTCGACATTCCAGCCAAGTTCATCACCATCCTCTCCATAAGTTATCTGGGCCGGCACATCACTCAGGCCTTTGTGCTGCTCCTGGCAGGAGGGGCTATCTTGGCTCTCATCTTTGTGCCTTCAGGTAAGAGGCTGGGGCTACCCCAGAACCTTCTGGAAGAAGATGCCACAGGCTAGAAAGTGGGTGACCAAGACTCCAACTCTGTTGGCTCTGCCTCTTATTCACCATGTTGCCTTGAGGTCAGGTCTCTCTTCTAGAAAATAATTCAGTTGGGCTAAATGATATCAAATCTCTTTTCCAGATGTCACTAGGACTGGGCAAAATATGGTAGAGTCTGAATAGTGTGAGGAATTGCTTAGGAACAGAGCACGTCCTGGGCTCATCACTGCAGAGAATGATCTGAAATGGGGAAACAAGAGTCAATCCATGAAAAACACCCCAGTATAAACTTGGAAAAACCACTTTTATTGTATTTATGTTTACTGATGCATGTACATCCTTCCAAAAGAACTTGAGGTATTTTAGAACAAGAACAAGTTTAAGTGGGAATAGGAATTGGGGAGAGGGGAAAACACAAACACAGCAGGACATGTGTCAATCACGCAAAGCATTAGGAATAACAGAGGGGCTACTACCTTTAAGTTGGGGTCTGCTTACTGGCCGCCAAAGCAAAAGAGGAGGCAAAGTCTGCTAAAGAATAAGAATACTTGAGTCCTCCTTAACTCCAAGGCCCTCCACATTTTCTTCCCTCTGCAGACATGCAGATCCTGAGGACAGCGCTGGCTGTGTTTGGAAAGGGATGCCTGTCTGGCTCCTTCAGCTGCCTCTTCCTCTACACGAGTGAACTCTACCCCACAGTTGTCCGGTAGGTGCTGGATTTGGGAAAGGCCCAGCCAAAGGATACAGGGCCAGATGGGAGTGTGGCATCCTCCTACCCCCAAACCCAGGTGTCCCAAGGCCATCCTTTAAGAACCCCACGCACAGGCTGCCAACCCTGCTCTAAACCCCCCCCCCAGGCAAACAGGTATGGGCATTAATAACCTGTGGGCCCGCGTGGGAAGCATGCTAGCCCCACTGGTGAAAATCACGGGTGAGGTGAAGCCCTTCATCCCCAATGTCATCTACGGGACCATGGCCATACTGGGAGGCAGTGCTGCCTTCTTCCTGCCTGAGACTCTCAATCGGCCCCTGCCAGAGACCATCGAAGATGTGCAAAACTGGTGAGTTCTCCGCCTCTGGCCCCCACCAGGGCTCCTCCTGGGGAAAACAGATCAGGGCTCAAGTCTTTTCCTGAACTTTCTGTCTCTAGGCGCCATCAAGGAAAGGCGAGAAAGCAGGAGCCAGAAGCAGAAAAGGCATCCCAGAGGATCCCTCTGAAGCCTTGTGAATCAGGCCAGGACCCCAGCTGAGGACAGGGGACCCCCCTTTCCCAGTCCTCCAGAGACTGATCCCAGCCAGGATCCTGCCTGCCTCTGGGCTCCATGGGTACCCTGGAGGTTGGGGGGAGGGCCAGGACGGGTCCATGCTCCCAGGAAAAAGCCCTCGGAGAAGCCAGTGAAGGCATCTCCACCACCACCTCCTTCACAGAGTCCCCATCCCATCCCTGGCCAGTCCCAAGTCCAGGCCACACCCCTGCACTCATCCTCCCTGCCATTCTTCTGTCTATCCTTTTTCTACTGTGTCCCAGCCTTCCCCTGGTGTCCCAGCCTTGCTCTCCTGAGATCCCCTGAATCAGTCCTAATAGTTTCTCCTTCTTGTCCCCAATTCTTTTATTCAATGGGAAATTTCAATAAACAGCAGTAAAGAATTTAAACCATGCCGCTCAGAAATGGAGGTAAGGAAGGAGACCCGTACCATGTGAATATGAGAGCACACACATCTGTCCATCTGTGCATGAATGTACATACAGATATGGACACCTGGTTATATGCAAGTTGGGTAGATGTGAACATGTGCATATGTCCTAGTCTGTGCTGTTATGACAGACTGCCAGAGGCTGGGTACTTTATAACAATATAAGTTTATTGTTTACAGTTCTGAAGGCTGGGAAATCCAAGATCAATGCACCAATATTCAATGTCTAGTGAGGCCCTTCTTGCTTCTTCCCCATGTGTCAGAATAATGCAAGGGCAGAAATCCAAATCTGGGAACAGAGCTATGTCTGTCAGCTTTCCGTCACTATGAGCAAATACTTGAGATGAAAGCTTAAAAGGAAGAAAAATTTATTTTGGCTCATAGTTCAGAGGTTTCAGTCCATAGTCACTTGGCCCCCTTGCTTTGGGGCCAAGGCAGAACATCACGGCTGGAAACACGTGGTGGAACACAGCTCACCTCATGGACACCAGGAAGCAGAGAGAGAGGAAGGGGACTCAGGGGCACACCCCCCAACCCAACTTCTTTCTACTAGGCTCCACCTCCTAAAAGTGCCGCCACCTACCAATAGTGCCATTTGCTACATCCAAGCCTTCAGCACATGAGTCCTTGGGGGACATTTACCATCTAAACCATAACAGGATTCCTATGACTTCATCACTTCCCAAAATGTCCTGCCTCTTAATACCACCACAACAGGGATGAAGTTTCAACATGAGTTTGGGGGACATTCAGACCGTATCAGCATGATTGTGCAAGTGCTTTGAGGTATGTGCCCATCTGACCTGTGCTTGGAAACAGTGTGTGTCTCTACATGTTCCTCGCACACGTGGGAACAGATGATCAAACAAGCCCAGAGTGGCTGCAAACAGAAGCTGGGGCCCTTACAGTCTTGACTCTCCTCCCCTGTGTGTCTCAATATCTGATCCATGACCCAACCACAGGCCCAGTGCTATCAGTTTTATCTCCTATTTAACTGAGACCGCCGCAGCCGTGGCAGAATGCTGTCTATTTCTGCCGCACTGTTCCCTGGTTCTCTCTAGTCACAGCAAAAGGCCTCAGGCTTCTTCCACCTTAACAAAATCCAAAAGCCTCCCTGGAAGCCAGAACTCCTTCCAGGGGCCACACTGTCTCTTTCTTCTCTCTAAAGCCACACCTCATAAGGGAGAGGCTGGGTACTTTGTAACAATATAAGTTATACATTGCCTCCTCCACATCTCCTTTCTAACTACATTCACCTCCCCATACACTCCAGCTCCCACCCCCTTCTTCTCTGACACTGCTTTCATTAGGGACACTCATCATCTCCCTGTGCTGCATCCACACCTCACTGCGTGTTCACAGCTCCCTCCCATGAACTGGCTGCTCCTTCTTATGCTCTTCAAAGTTTCTGATAAATGAGAGTCACTTGGTCACTTTGTCTGTCCTGCCCCTACTCCTTCTTCAGAGGTCTGCTAGTCAAACAGTTTCATGACCTTCTACTTCTTGTTGTGACTAACTAGACCAGAAGGCACTCTAGATCCAAATCTCATTGATCACATGCTCCCTCTTGGTCTGAGATCTGAAGTAGAATGTATTAGTCTGTTTCCTGTTGCTGCAACAAAATTCCCAAGGCTGGATACTTCATAAAGAAAAGAGCCCTATTTATCTCACAGCTATGAAAGCTGAAAGTCTCAGATGAGGTAGCCAAATCCATTTAGCCTCTGGTAAGGACCCCAAGGCAGATGACAACACAATAGTGGGAACACATGTAGATGAGATCTCTTGATAAGACAGAAAACCAGAGATTCAGGGGCCAGAGTTGTTGTTTTTATAAAAACCAGCTTCTGTAGGAACTGGGGTCCTGTAAAAACTATATTAATTCCTTTGGAAGGCAACACCCCAGTGACCACCAGTCTCTTAAAGGTTTCATCACCTCCAAACACCAGTAAGGACCAGTCTTCCAACACATGCAACTTTGGGGGAAAAAATCACATCCAAACCATAGCAGAGGGTTCCATCCATCTCTTGGTGCTCGCTTTGGGAAGGCAGGTTAGCATAAATTTGGGCTGGCTCAGAGCACATAAAGACAGTAGCAAAAAGAGCAGAACAGAGATGCACAGAGAAAAAGAGGCTCCATGGACCCAGACATTAAAAAAAAAATGACAAGACTATTTATAATGGTTTTTACTGAATTCCAAATCCCTGTTCCCTATCAGCCCTGGATGCACTATCTTTCACTGATTTCTGTTAAGAAGCCTTGAATTCTCCAAATAAATTTCTCTTCTTGTTTAAGCTGAAGGAGTTTTGTTCCTCATTACTAAACAATTCCAAAAGCAGAAATTCTTCCTCTATCATTTCTTAAGCACTGACGTCTCTCAGAAATCTTTCCCCAGGACTTCTGCCTCTCACATTCCAATGGAAATATAATATGAGCCATCTGTATAAATTTTCATTGAAATTTCCTAGCAGCCATTTTTTAAAAATGAAAAGAAAAAGATGAAAATCATTTTAATAATATACTAAATATGAAAAATACATTTTACTCAGCCTAACACACCTAAACATTACCACTGCAACATCAATCAATATAAAAGTTATTAATGAAATAGTTTGTAGTTTTAAGTTCATACTAAGCCTTCAAAATCTGGTATGTATTTTACACCAATAGCATAGCTTGATTTGGACCAGCCCAATTCAAGCACTCAGTAGTGGCTCTTGACTACCATAATGGACAACTTCAACATACTCCAGAGATTGATTGTCAACCACAGAGCTAATGACTACTCTCAAATCTGTATTTAGATATTTGAAAGAGAGCCTAATAAATGCAAAAAAGATTGTATTGCATCCCTGCCTCAATCTTTTGGTGACTTCCTATTGGGATGAAGTTTAAACTCTCTTACAAGGCTCATCAGGATCAGACCCAACCCTCCTCAACAACTTCAGTTTTTAACACCCTCTACCTTGCACCCTAAAACTCAATCTCATCCAATTTCTTTGGTCTAGGGTCTGAAAAATAGAGTTTATTAGTTTATTAGTCTGTTTTCTGTTGCTGTAACAAAATTCCCGAGTCCACCAGCAGTGGACTTCTCCCCATCCAACCTCCACTATACTGGGTTAACCCCAAGTCATCCTTAAGGCCTCAGCTTGTATTGCTTGTTCCAAAAAACCTTCTGTGGCTCCCCAGAGCCTGGGTTAGGTGCCCTAGTTATCACACGCTGAATCGTGATTGCAACTGTATCTTAGTGTGCATTTTCCCAGAAGCAGACCACCACAACAAGGATCTGAATGTGATTTGCTTATTTGGCAGGCAATCCAAAGGAGCAGGAAGTAGGGGAGTAAGTCAGGGAAGGGACAGGTGACCAGCCTGTCACGCAGCCACACAGGAAAGGGTGCTTTTCACGATGCTTATTGCACCTAGTCAAGGAGACTAGGACACTTCCTAGTTACATGATCAAGACTTAGAATCAATTGGCTTGCTGGTCAGAATACCCCACCAAATCTTCATTTCTCCTTTTCTCCACCAGTGCTGGTTCCCCTCCAACCTCAGCTCCTCCTCTGCCTCTCCCTCCCCTGTACTACAGCGGGGACTCCAACTGGCTCAGTGAATCCCATGAGGCAGAGTCCTCATGGGTTACTGGTCTCATACTAGACGTCAAATGGCAGTCTTCAGATGGATTTATAATGCCTGCACTGTCTGCCAGCCAGGATAGCCTAGGCACAAGGCGCAAAGCTCAATTTGGTCAGAATTCCTTGCTCAGAAGGTTGCTGTGGGGTCAGCAGCACGTGGAGTCTGCTGAACTCTTGGGGTCATTTCAAACTTGTGCTTGGGCGGATTTGAGCAAGAGTGCTTTATTTGATCTTCAAATTATTTATTTGAAAAGTCTCACAAAGTAATCAAAATCATATGTAGTTCATACTTTAAATCCACAGAACAGAATAAAGTCATACAAAGTCAATACTTATCCCAGAAAATGAGAGAGAGTGATGGTGGCTAGCATGGTGGGAAGAACAGCAGAGTTGAGCAAGCTGGGTTCTATACAGACAAACTTCTTGCCTGTTCTGGGTTCTGGTCTCCTTATCCACACAGTGAGTTGTTTTTACCTGAATCACACCTTTCAGCTCTGATGGTGTGTGACTCTGTGGCTCTGGAATAATAGGAAATTCCCAGGTTTGATGCTTTCCGACTGAACACAGCCAGAATCTAAGTCCACGTGCCAGTTAGCCCAGGGGAATCCAATTCTAAGTTTTTAGTAATTCAGAAGGTCCCCAAGGGATAATTCCCAGCTCTACAAATCATTTGCTATGGGAGCATTTGCATCAGAAGCTCTCCTTGAACTGGGAGGCTTCTGGGGAATCCCTCTGTTACTCTAATGATCCTGGGAGCTGAGCACAATGATCCAAACCACAATTCAGTCCCTGGAGCCTCCAGCGGAACCTTTTCTGGACTCATCCAGGCTTGGAGCTGGTCAGGGACTGAGAAGGGAGTTCTTCAAGGCAGGGTTAGGCACAGGTTTGGAGAAGGAGGGTGCTTGCAAGGGCCCATCACCCCTGCTGCTCCCAGTACTCCACCTACTCCCCCTCAGGGGTACCAAGTCCTGGCAGGAGATTGGCCCTGCAGCCCCCAAGCTGTTTGTCCAGCTGTCCTCGCATCCCCAGGCCACAGGCTCTTATATACCTTGGCCTGGAGAATGTTGTCAGGCATCTGGACACCCATTGGACCCAGTCCAGAACCAACAGTGGGTGGGAAGGGGAGGCTAGCTGAATCACGTCCCCCTCTGGTTCTCCCCTATTCTCTTCTGTACATGCAAGGACAGATAATCCAAAACCCTTTCTGTGGAGCAGTCTACGCCTCTGGAGCAGCAGTTTAGAACCCAGCTTTGGAGTTAGAAAAGTTTTGAACTAATTTGAGCATTGTGTATCCCAGGGTCTCAATGGACAATGGAACTACACAAAAGTAAACACAGCATCTTGATTTTACACTGCTTCCCATCAACAGCAAGACTTGGAGATTTCTGCCTAGAAGAATTGAGAAAGACCCTCCCCCCAAGACCCTTTGCATCAGCTAATTTGTATAGGGCCTGGACTATCTCTTATTAAACTATGGAACCCTAATATCCCTTTGTGTTTAGACATAGGCCAACATAGCTGATGTAGTATGGTGTAGCGAAAGTCAGAAAGAGAGGAAAAGCCAGAGACCCAAAACAGAAAGACACCATGCAGGGCAAAAAAAGGTCTAGAATGGTAGGCCATGACCAACAATCAAATTAAAACACAGCAGAATTGGGCTTGGTAGCACACGCCTGTAATCCCACCAGCTTGGGAAGCTGAGACAGAAGGATTATGAGTTCAAAGCCTGCCTCAGCCTAAGCAACTCAGTGAGACCCTGTCTCTACATAAAATACAAAATAGGGCTGGGGATGTGGCTCAGTGGTTGAGTGCCCCTGAGTTCAATTCCCAGTACACACACACACACACCAGAGAAGACTACTAGACTGGACCCAGAGAGATCAGGGTCTTGATTTGGCTACCCCAGTGGAGAAAATGGTTGAGTAGACCTGGGCAGGGACAGAACTGCAGTACTGTGGAAGCTACTCTGCTCTACTTAAGCAGAGAAGGAAAGAGAATTTCTATTTCTCTATTACTCACCTTGTAAGACATCTTCTCTACTCAAAAGAGAGTGTAGACATTCTTTTTTTTTTATTTGTTCTAATCAGTTATTCATGACATCAGAATGTTCTTCAACTCATTGTGCACAAATGAAGCACAATTTTTCACTTCTCTGGTTGTACACGAAGTAGGGACACACCATTTGTGCAATCATACATGAACCTAGCTAAGGTAATGATGTCCGTCTCCTTCCACCATCTTTCCTACCCCCCATACCCCCTCCCCTACTTCCCCTTTGCCCAATCCAAAGTTCCTTCAGAGAGTGTAGACGTTCTTAAGAATATTTTGTTAGGAGTTATTTGTATGATTGGAATTTTCTTGGCCAAACAGGTATGAGATTGATCACTGTACAGAAAAGTTCAGAAACATTGTTTAGGATGGGGTTCTCAACCCCAGCACCATTGACATTTTAGATCAGGATAATTCTTGGCTGCGGGGCTCTCCTGTGCATTGTTGGAAGCCTCATAGCACCCCCAGATTCTACCCACCACAAGCCAATAGCACCCACTTCCCAGGCATGACAACCAAAAATGTCTCCAGACATGATCAAATGTCCCTTGAAGGGAGGCAAAATGGTCCCCAGTGGAGAATTACTGTTTATAATGATATGCTTAAACCTATTTTCTTTTCTAAAATCCATATGATAATCTCACCTTTCTACCAGATTCAAAATCACCAAGCTATGGGGCAGAAACTTCTTTTTTTGTTCATTTGTTTGGGTTTGGTTTTTCTTTGTTTGGTTGATTTGTTTTGTTTTGTTTTTCAGTACTGGGGATTGAACCCAGGGGCACTTGACTACTGAGCCACATCCCCAGCCCTTTTTTCTATTTTATGTAGAGACAGGGTCTCACTGAGTTGCTTAGCACCTTACTTTTTGCTGAGGCTGGCTTTGAACTCATGATCTTCCTGCCTCAGCCTCCCAAGCCACCGGGATTACAGGCACCACAGCACTTGGTTTTTCTTTGTTTTTTGAGATGGGTTCTCACCATGTTGCCTAAGCAAGTCTCTAGCTCCTGGGCTTCAACTGATCCTCCTGCCTCAGTCTCCCAAACAGCTGGAGCCACAGGTGTGCACCACCACACACCTGGCTAGAAGTTCTTAAAGCTCTTTACTTGTATTAGTTCATTTAACCCTCCACAATTCAGTGAGGCAATGAAGTACAGAGGAGTTTACCAACTTGCACCTTGTAACACAGCCAGCGAATGTGAAGTGAGGACTTGGATCCACGCCCACTAATTCCAGAGTCCATGTTTTACATAATATGCACTCTGCAAATCAAAAACAGAACGCAGCAACCTGCTCTCTCAGCATCCCTGATCTGTGATCTAACCAATCAGAGCCCGTGGAAACCCAACCAGTCAGAGTGCAGCACTGCCCTGATCATGAGTGACCAGGACGTGGGAGCCAAAAACTGTTGGCGGAATTCAAGCGGTATCTTAGAATTGTCACTAAAAATAAAATAAATTCATGTTCATTGTTTAAAAAAGAAAATCCCACAGACAGAAGACCTGACAAAGGGAAAGACATGAACGAGGAAGGTGAAAGCTGAGACTCCAGAAAAACAAACCCATGTGATGTGTGACCTTGGTCTTGGTCCCACTCCTTCAAGAGCAGCCTTTGACATCTGT